CTCTCTCTCTCTCTCTCTCTCTCTCTCTCTCTCTCTCAGTCCGATACTAACCTGTGAAGTTGGCGCCTTGATGCAGGTACCTCGAAGATGGAGCTGGAGCGATGGCGCCACAGGTAAGTCTCGCTGGCCTCCGCCAGCCATCTCTCCTCAACACTACTACTACCACCTACTAGCGCCCGGCGCTGAAGACTACTGCTATGGCTACTAGCGCCCAGCGCTGAAGACTACTGCTAGCGCTAAGCTACTCCTGCAGCGCTCCTCCTGAGTGCTGCGGCCGAATCCTGAAGACTACTCCTGCCTTTTGTCCAACTACCTACCGTGAAGTGCATGGGAACTCCCTATGTACTTCTCGACCTGCCTCCTAACTACAGGGTGAGGCAGTCCAGGAGGCTGCTCTTGCCAATGCCGAAGGGAGTTAGGGGCTGCCGCTGCAGCTCCTGCTTGAGGCTGTCGTGGGAACAGGCTAAAGATAGCCTATTCCCGAAACCCTGGTTTTGTGCCTGAGTGTTAGGGCAGGTCGATCTTATGAGGGCCCGACAGTGGCCCTCCGTTTCAGGCTGAAAAGCCTCAGGGCTGAAAAACCCTGTTTTAGGCTGAAACGACATAGGGCCTGCAGGCCCTTGTTTTTCAGTCTTTCAGGCTGATAAAACGACAGGGGTCTGTAAGCCCTTATTTCTAGGCTTTTAGGCTGAGAATGCGGGACAGGCCCTGCAGGCCCGTGTGGCTACAGAGTATGCCACACCCCCCCCTCCTTGAAAAACCGAGCTTACCTGCGAGGGCGAAGCTGTCTGTCTGAGGGAGGGACCACAGTCCGGGTGGGAGGGCAGGTCGTGAAGTTCCCTGAGCTAACCTTTGTCGCTCGTAGTGAGCGTAGATCAGCGGAGCGGATGCTTTCAAATCTGTTCCTGAAATCCACCGAGTGTCGTCGGGATCGCATGCTTTGAATGTAACTTTGTACTGTCGCGGCTTGCTGCCGTACTTGCGATCCGTGATGACGCGGTCAACTTCCTGATGACCATCCATAGATGGAGGGTCCTGCGATCGTCGGCCCAGGAAGTCGTCGCTCTTAGCTGGTGTATATGTTGCCAGCTTTGAGGCGTGAAAGACTGGATGGACCATCAGATGCGGGGGGATGTTGATCACAAATGAAGGGCCATCGGGCTCATCGCCCGCGGCTGATGTTACGGGCCATGGTCCAAACCACTTGGGAAGCAGTTTGCGTGAAACATCCTGTTCCAGTGCAAACTCTTCCGCGGAGACCCAAACCAGATCACCGGCGCGGATGGGACATGGCACGTGACGCTTGTTGGCTTGCTGCTGCATGTGGACTTTAGCCTTTTGCATATTCGCGCGGGCTTGAGCCAGCAATTCCCTGTACTTCCGGACGGAATCGGGAGAGCAAGAGGCGTCGATGTCGGCTGGTCGTGGGAGGAGAAGGTCGGCGAAGATATGGCCTTTCCGTCCACCGTGGTGCAACTCGAATGGAGTCACGCCGATCGCCGGGTGCACCGAAGTGTTGTAGGCGAACTCGATGTCGGGGAGGCGGTCAACCCAATCTTTCAGGTCCGGATGGATGAGCGTACGAAGCATCATTTGAGCGGTTTGATGTGCCCGCTCCGTTTGCCCGTCCGTCTATGGATGCCGAGCCGAACTTGGTTTCATCTTCATGTCGGACTCCTGCATGAGAGCAGTCCAAAATGCCGACATGAAGCGGATGTCGCGGTCGCTGACCATGTCTTCCGGTACACCGTGGCCGCAAATCCAGCCGGTGTGCAAGAGGCGTGCCAGCTCAGGAGCCGTGGAGTAGTACTTGCAAGGGAGAAAACGCGCGTACTTACTTAAACGGTCCACAACCGTGAGGATGCCGTCGTGCCCGAGGCAATCGCGGGGAAATGGTCCGGTGACATCCATGGCAATGGAGAGGCCGGGTTCCCATGGGATAGGCATCGGGCGCAACTCGCTGTAGGGATTGCGATTGCGGGGCTTGCTTCGTCGGCAAACTTCGCAAGAGTCGCAATACCGAGTGACATCGGTAATGAGGTCGGGCCATCGGAATCGTTGTCGAAGTCGTGCAATGGTGCGGTTGACTTCGAAATGGCCGGCGAGTCGCGAATCATGATACTCGCCGAGAAGGCAAGTCCGAAGGCGACGGTCTCGTGGGACACATAGTAAGTCCTTGCCTCTCGAGTGGAGGAGCAAGTACCAGTCGACAATGCGATAGTGGATGGCCGGCGGGTGATCCGAAGATAGCTGCGCATACAACGTGGCGGAATCCGGATTAGACTCATAGCCCCGGATGAAGTGTCGTTGGAGTTCCTCGTCGAATTGCGTCTTGTAGTAGGTCAACGGGTTGTTTTCTCTGACCCATGTGAACGTACGACTCCCAAGGAGGAAGTGCCGCCATCGCTTGAGAGCCATCACGAACGCAAGCAGCTCCTTCTTCCTTGCATCATCAAGTGAATTGATGGGAGGCACTTTGTGGCTGAAATACTCCACAGGGTGCCAATCGTCGCCGTCGTGTTGTTCCAAGACTGCCCCAATGCCATAGCCGGAAGCGTGAGTTGTCACTTTCGTAGGCAGGGTGGGGTCATAGATGCTAAGGACGCGTGCCATGACCATGGCTGTCTTAAGTGCTTGGAATGACCGGCATGCGTCGTCATCGAATACGAATGGCGCCTTTGGCGATTGTAATCTCGTCATAGGTGCAACAATCCTTGAGTACCCGGTGATGAATCGCTGATAGTAGCCCGCCAACCCCATGAATGAACGAACGTCCGTGGTGTTGGTGGGCTCGGGCCATACGCGGAGGGCCTCGATCTTGTCCGCAAGCGGACGGATGCCTTGCGGCATCACATAATGTCCCAAGTACTCCAGCTCCTGCCGCGCGAATTCGCATTTGTCGCGGTTGGCTTTGTACTTGGCTTGTCGTAACCGCTCTAAAACGGTGCGCAGGTGTTCCACATGCTCGTCCAAACTCCGGCTGTACACCAGGATGTCGTCGAGGTAGATAAGTACGAATCGATCCAGCATCTGTCAGAACTCCGTTGTCATAGCCGCTTGGAAAGTGGCCGAGACATTCGTAAGGCCAAATGGCATAACCAGCCATTCGAAATGCCCATATCGCGTTTTAAACGCGGTCTTGTAGCGGTCCTCCTGCCGAATCTCGAGTTGGTGATATCCCGACTTGAGGTCAAGCTTGGAGAAGAACTTGGCGCTTGCCCAGCCGTTCGAGAAGGTCGTCGATGCGTGAAAGAGGGCCGGCGTTTCTGATCGTTTGCACGTTGAGCTTGCGATAATCGATGCACAACCGCAAATCCTTGTTCTTCTTCCGGTCGAAGAGAACGGGAGCACGGTATGGCGATGAGCTAAGGCCGAATCTAGCCTTTCTCTAGAAGGTCGTCGAGTTGTGCCCGTAGCACACTTAACTCTTCCTCGCTCATTCGGTAGATGCAACCACGCGGGGGTACATCCCCGTCCTCGAGGATGATCTCGTGGCGGATGGGCCGATCCGATACTACTCCGTGCGGTGCTTCGAATACATCGCTGTAGGCGTGGAGAAGCTCGGTGATGCGTGGGTCCGAAGATGAGTCCGTCGATGAAACATCATGGGGCGGGAGGGCGTGGAGAAAACACACCCCCATCTCCTCGATGTCGTCTCAGATGATGGAAGCTCGCAAGCTTGCGGCGGGCACCACGTGGCAGCTGATCGAAGGGTGAGGAGGAGGCACCGTGCATGGGACTAGTACTCCGTTCCGATCACGGACGTGAATTGTGCGGCGGTAGAAGCTCACCGGGTGATCCTCGCTTCGCAACCATGACATGCCCAAGATCATGTCGAATTTGGTGTCCAAAATATCGAAGGACACCGCCTCGCGTGCATGCGGGGCAAAGTACACGGGGACGTCATCTATGCACCGGTCGATTGACTTGTGCGTGTGACCGTCTGCCAACGTGACTTGCGTAGGTTGGGACTTCCTCCGAACGCGTGGGCCGAGGCCGGCGCGTACCATAAAGTCCTGGCTCATGTAGTTGCGAGATGCTCTGCAATCGATCAAAGCGCTGCAGGTCGCCTCTCCGATCTGAATGCGTGCATATAACAATGGTGTGTCGATGTCGTCGTACCGTTGTGTCTTGAACTCGCGGTCGATCTTCGCAATGTAGGCGTGAAGGTCGACAACCTCTACTCCGGCGTCCATCAACGGAGTTGGTACTGCAGTGTGCAAGTAATCCCGCAATTGTGCCATGAGCACGTTGCAATGCGGTTTCGGCAATCGACCAGACCGGGGAAGGGGCATCCATTGGAAGTCCGCAAACGTCAACGGGTCGAGCTCTTCAAGTCTTGACCATGACGTTGAATCCCCGGCGATAGATGGCGGCGAAGCTGCGGAATCGGTTGCCGATGGTGATGAAACCGTGCATGCGGTAGATTGTTGCACGTGGAGTGGTTGGTCCAACGGTGGGACCAAGTGGACAGCATAGTCCTCGTAAGTGTACCGAGAACTTGCGACATTGGCCGCTAGCAGGGCGGCCGAATCTGGCGGAGTGAGAGGTGGAGTCGCCTCACCTCCTGCGCAACTCAGTTTCCCGAGTTGATACGAGGCCGAACATCCTCCTTGCCTTGATCAGGGCATTGGGAGGTCTTGTGCTTGGTGCTGTTGCACCAATAGCAGCAGCCGTAGCGGCTGCGCCACTTGTATTCCGCCTCGGTGAAGTGAAACTTGACCCATGGTGCTGGCTGTCCGTTTCTGGCCGGCGATGCGGTTTTCGCCTTCCCGTTTCCTCAGGACTTGTTGTTGCTTCGCGGCTGGACAGCAGCCACCTGATCTCCCTCACGTGATGCTTGGGTGGCTGCCGGGTCTTCCACAATGTTGTCCGTGTGGACTGCAGTGACATGCTGCTGACGCGGACCAAATTTACCTTTCTCCACATAGGTTGGCTGCCATGCCGACTTCTCGTGTGCAGCTGCCCTATTGGTCTTGATGATCTCCTTTGCCTTGTCGATGATTTCGGCGAAGGTCGCGTATTGCTCGCGATCACCAAGTGCAAGGCTCAAGGCGGCACATGACCGGTTGTAGAACTCTCGGCGCAGGTGCGAAAATGGCAATTCGAGATCCGGTGTTGCCGCGATCTTTTGCCACTCCATGAGCCAGTCACGTGTCGTTGTGTTGCCTTGTGTCATAGCGAAGAGGCGGTTGATGGCGAGCGCCGAGGCGTCGTCCACGATGAACCGCTTCTTCCATAGCCGTGTTAACTCTTCCCAAGAGATCTTATCTTTTGGAATGTTGGCATCTTGTAGTGTTGCGTGGTGTTGCCATCTTTGTTAGGCAGCTGGAGTTGCTGAACCTCGGTCTTCAAGGTGTCCAGCTGGCTGCTGATGGTGGCTGGTGCAGCGAAGGTACTGATGTCGCCGAGCATTGCAACTACGTGGTCAACTCGTTCCTCCAGTTGGCGGGCCGAGGGTGCACTGCTGGACTCGCCAGCCTCCGGTCTTGGTGCAGTTTGCTCCAAGTCCTGTACACAGGAATCAAGTGCCCGTGCTGCATCCTCGTGCTGAGCCTTGTGGTTCCGTACGGCCCGCTGGAGGTTCGCCAGCTCGGACTGCAGGTGGTTACAAGTGTAAACCAGCCTGGTCACGAGTTTGGCCATGAATTCCTTATGCTGCTCCTCCGGTGTCGCGTCGTCGTGCTCCTCGGATGGTTCAAAGTGCCAAAACTTGAGCTTTTCGATGCTAGTGGCTTCGTGCCGCTGTAGCAGATCCTGGGCTTCCTTGCGGCGTGCCTGGGTATCTGCGTCTGCTTCAGCCTGAAGCCGCTGTTTCTCAGCTGTTGCCGCCGCTTCAGCCTGTAGGCGGACAGCCTCGGCTGCCACCTGGCGCTGTTCCTCGGCCTCGATCAGTGCGAGCTGAGTCTGGAACCGCTGTTTGTAATCGGCAATGGACTCGTTGGCCAGTTGGCCTGGCATGCCCAGAGTTGAGCCTGTCATGGTGGCGGGGCACTGCTGATGTGGCACTGCTGACGTGGCACTGCTGATGTGGCACTGTTGCTGACGTGGCACTGCTGATGTGGCACTGCTGACATGGCACTGTGGCTGACGTGGCACTGCTGACATGGCACTGCTGACATGGCACTGCTGTCGTGGCACTGTGGCTGACGTGGCACTGTTGCTGACGTGGCACTGCTGACGTGGCAATTCCCGGAAATGCATGCAAAGGGGTGGGTGGGAGGGAAAACGCAGGTAGGGAATCAACCCAACTACTTTCCTCCCGGCCCTAATCAACAGATAAATAAATAAAAAATAAAAATAAAAAAAGAGGACTACTTCCTTTTTTTTTTTTTTTTTTGTATATCTGTCGATCTGCTATGAGTGAGACATGTCAGAAGAGTACTATGAGCGAGATCTA